CATTACACAGCATCAGTCGGTGATCCCGGGGCCGGGGATCTAAGATCCCTGGGGGTCGAGTTGAGTCCTGAGGACCGGAGCACCCACAGGCTTGTAAGCAGCGTGTGCGTGCTCCCAAAACCCGATATGGTCCTCTGCTCCCGCCATATCTGCCCCTCCCACTGACCGTACCTATCACAACACCCTCCCCTGGTCCCCCCACCCCCCCCCTGATCACTTTAGTGCCGTGTCCCCCCGACATGGCATGGGTTGGCCTACCGACATGGCATGGGTTGGCCTACCCACCCTACCCCCCCCCCAACTAAGTAACATCATCAATGTTAGAAGGGAGTGGGGTTTGTGGCCAGAAGGAGTCGGAGTCTGTGGGATCCTCAGTGCTCTCTGACTTTGGTGGTTTTCTTGCAGACCTTTTATTACCCAGCTAGACAACATTATCAGTGCTTGAAAGGAGTGGGATTTCCTTTCCGTTCATATACAGTGGTTTTGCCTTGATGGTGTTGATGGGAGTATTGTCCTTTTTTGCTTGGTAACTGGATTAGGGTGTTGTTTTCTGCTCGATTGTTTGTTTGGTGTCAATCCCTGCTTATCTGGGTTTCCCTTTCTGTAGGGCCCTTGGTAGTCTCTGGGCTGGGTGGTTTCCTTGCAGACGTTTCAAGACCCAACTAGGGAACATCATCAGTGCTACAAGGGAGTGGAGTTTGTGGAGGGGGGGAGGAGGAGGAGGAGGAGGAGGAGGAGGAGGAGCACTGTGGAGTCCTGGTGCTCTCTGAGGTTAGTGGTTTCCTTGCAGATGTTTCATGACCCAACTAGGGAACATCATCAGGGCTAGAAGAGGGAGGGGGGTTGCCTCTCTGTTTACACACAGTGGCGTGTCCTCTCAGTGTGATGGAGGTATCCTTGATGATACCCCATTCAAGCTGGGCATTGAACTGGGCACTGATGCCAATGATTCATTCTGGAACGGGATCCTCTATCTCGATCAGGCTCTGGGTCCTTCCACCCCAGCCTTCGGTGTCCCATCCGGGGGCTCCCAGCCCCAGTGGGGAGGGCCAGAACGCTTCGCTGCTGCTGTGCCCTCCCTCACCCCAGCAGACAGGGTTCCACGGAAGCCCCTGGGATCCTGAAGGTAGCGAAGAGTGGGCTAGTCCCCACGCCTGTGGAGTTTTCCCCACTCTCCCATTGAGAATAAGCCTCTCAGCTGTTCTACTCACCCACGCAGACGCTGCCCTCGGCCGTCAGTTCATGCCCCGGAGGGCAAAGGCACTCAAAGCTGCCCTCGGTGTTGACGCAGACCCCTCCCCGGCACAGGAGAGGGTCTCGTTCGCATTCGTCAATATCTGGAAGATTAAAAAGCCCAGCTGAGTTGGGAAACCAGTGGAAGACTTGTCTACGGAGGTTCGCAGCCCTCCAGGTCATGGCTGTCCCAGGGGTGCTTTTCCACGCCGCAACTGGACTTCCTCGTTCTTCTTTGAAGATGTTTCGCTTCCCATCCCAGAAGCTTCTTCAGCTCTGACCGGATGGTGGAGAAATGGAAGGATTTATACTCCTTGCAGACAGCTGGCCGTTTGCCTTCTTTCGGAGAGTCGTTGAGGCCACTCGGAGTTTTCTCTGTGTCCTCAGGGTCACCTGAGTTGTGCAAGTGGGTGTGGAGCCTCTTTGGCTGTTTCTTTGGGGCAGAAAACATCCTATAGCCAAGAAGGCTCCACGCCCATTTGCACCACTCTGGTGACCCTGAGGACGCAGAGAAACCTCCAAGTGGCCTCAACAACTCTCTAAAAGGATGCAAATGACCAACTGTCTGCAAGGAGTATAAATCCTTCCATTTCCTCCACCATCCAGTCAGAGCTGAAGAAGCTTCTGGGATGAGAAGTGAAAAGTCTTCAAAGAAAAAACAAGGAAGTCCAGTTGCCTCCTGAAAAAAAAAGCACCTTTGGGACAGCTGAAGAGCTATATCTCCTACAGGTAATCCTTGCTTAGGGACCGTTCACTTAAAAACTGTTTTATGTACAACAGACATCCCCAGAGCTACTTATGACCTGAAGTTCTGATGCTCACCCCCTCCCCCCGGATAATTTATTTACATTTTGGGCCCTTGGCAACCTGCTCACCTGTTCTGCTGTAATTCTATTCTATTCTATTCTATTCTATTCTATTCTATTCTATTCTATTCTATTCTATTCTATTCTATTCTATTTTGCTCTAATTCTATTCTATTCTGCTCTAATTCTATCCTATTCTATTTTGCTCTAATTCTATCCTATTCTATTTTGCTCTAATTCTATCCTATTCTATTTTGCTCTAATTCTATTCTATTCTATTCTATTCTATTCTATTCTATTCTATTCTATTCTATTCTATTTTGCTCTAATTCTATTCTATTCTGCTCTAATTCTATTCTATTCTGCTCTAATTCTATTCTATTCTATTGTATTCTATATTCCAATATCTATTCTGCTCTAATTCTATTCTATTCTATTCTATTCTATTCTATTCTATTCTATTCTATTCTATTCTATTCTATTCTATTTTGCTGTAATTCTATTCTATTCTGCTCTAATTCTATTCTATTCTATTCTATTCTATTTTGCTCTAATTCTATTCTATTCTGCTCTAATTCTATTCTATTCTATTCTATTCTATTCTATTCTATTCTATATTCCAATATCTATTCTGCTCTAATTCTATTCTATTCTATTGTATTCTATATTCCAATATCTATTCTGCTCTAATTCTATTCTATTCTATTCTATTCTATTCTATTCTATTCTATTCTATTCTATTCTATTCTGCTCTAATTCTATTCTATTCTATTCTATTCCCCATTCCATATTCTATTCTATTCTATTCTATTCTATTCTATTCTATTCTATTCTATTCTATTCTATTCTATTCTTTAGGATGACCTAATGTAGATCAGAGCCCTGGGTGGATATGGAAATGAGAGACTGGATATTCAAATTGGTTTTTGAAAAGCTCAAGAAGAAAGAAACACTCATGCTGATGCAAACTGGGAAATGGAGAAAGCAAAAAATAAAAATAAAAATGAAAAAGGTCAGCCAGCCACTTACTGTATGACCCACAACTGAGCCCAAAGGTTAAGACTCTTATCTAACAATAAAGGTTGTCTTATCTAAAGTTTCCATTGCTAAGAGAGATAGTCATTAAGTGGTTTTGGCTGCACTCTATGACCATCCTTGCCACAGAAGCAAAGCAAGCATATTTGCAGGGCCCCCCCACCCCATTTGCCCCCCACCCCGTCATCCTTACCCATGCAGTTCTTCATCATCATAAAGCCACTCTCGTAGCCTTCGAAGCATTCGCACTCAAAACCGCCGGGCGTGTTGACGCAGGCGCCGTGGCCACACAGGTCTGGGGAGATCCGGCACTCGTCTATATCTGGGGTGGGGGTGGGGGTGGGGGAGAGGAGGAGGAGGAGGAGGAGGAGGAGGAGAGTCAAGGCAGGGTCCAACAGGAGCTTCCTTGGGAGACAGTGAGGGTCCCCGATTCCTTGGGAGGTTGGGGTGCCCCTCCAGAGGCTGCTCAACACGGTGGCCCACCAAATTGACCAAAACAGCTTTTAGTTCAGGAAAAGAGAAAGAAATGCGAAAGTCACTATAAAATGTGCGCTTTATGAGGAAAAGCCCACTTGGGCAATGTATACTTGGAAATAAAGTGCATTTGGAGACAAACTCTGAGTGAGGAATGCATTATTATTATTATTATTATTATTATTGTTGTTGTTGTTGTTGTTGTTGTTGTTGTTGTTGTTCTTCTTCTTCTTCTTCTTCTTCTTCTTCTTCTTCTTCTTCTTCTTCTTCTTCTTCTTCTTCTTCTTCTTCTTCTTCTTCTTCTTCTTCTTCTTCTTCTTCTTCTTGTTGTTATTGTTATAAAAACCAAATTATTCAGATCCAGCTTTTATACAAAGCAGGACGGTTGAAAAGGAAAACCGGCAGTCTGGAAATGGAAAAGGTCGAGCATCTAGAACATACTTAGCTGAAATAAAGGTTCTTTTCCACCTGGAATGGTTTTGCATTGGCCAGGGACAGACTGACAGAAAACAGGAGGGAGGGAGGAAAGGAAGGAAAGGTGGAGAGAAGGAAGGGAGGGAGGGAAGAAGGAAGGGAGAAGAGAAGGAAGGGAGGGAGGGAGGGAGAGGGAGGGAGACAGAGGAAAGAAGGGTGGGAAGAAGGAAGGAAAGAAAGATAGGAGGGAGGGAGGGAGGGAGGAAGGAAATAAGGAAAGAGGAAGGAAGGAACGAAGGAAGGGTGGAAAGAAGGAAGCGTAGAAGGGAGGAAAGAAGGAATGGAAGGAAAGGTGGAAAGAAGGAAGGAAATAAGGAAAGAGATGAAGAAAAGAATAAGGGAGGGAGTTAGGAGGGAGAAAGAGAGGAAGGAAGGGAGGGAGGAAGGGAGGGAGGGAGGGAGGGAAGAAGAAGGAAGGAGACAGGAAGGAAGGGTGGAATGAAGGAAGGAAAGAAGGATGGGAGGGAGGGAGGAAATAAGGAAAGAGACGAAGGAAGGGAGAAATGGGAGTTAGGAAGGAAAGGAGAAAGAGATAAGAAAGAAAGAAAGAAAGAAAGAAAGAAAGAAAGAAAAAAAAGGAAGGAAGGAAGGAAGGAAGAAAGAAAGAAAGGAAGGAAGGAAGGAAGGAAGGAAGGAAGGAATTTCACTGGCAAAGCCAGAAGCAGGAATTCCGGGGGGCGAATCAACCGGCCGACCTTAGAGGGGCGAGCAGAGGTTTTTGGCCCCTGGGCTCACCTGTGCAGTTCCTCTCCTCGGCGTCCAGAGCGAAGCCACTGCCGCAGAGACACCGGAAGCTCCCGATGGTGTTGCGACAGGTGCCGTGGGTGCACAGTCCAGAGAACATCTTGCATTCGTTCACATCTGGGGAAGGCAGAAAGACCAGGGCTGAGGATCGCCTCCCACAGTGCCAAAAGCCCCCCCCCCCCGTTCCTTGAGCAGCCCCAGGGCAGCCCGTCCGCCCTGTCGGAAGCCCCCCGCTCTCTCGGTCCTCAGCTACAGATAAAGCCCATTTCTTTCCAGGTCCATTTATAAACAGGAAAAAACCGCCTCCTTTCAGATTCTTTGGAGGAATTGGCCTTTGGCCAAGGGTTGGCAACTATGGGGTATCCTAGATCAGGGCTTTTCAACCTTTTCACCCATTGTACCACTTTTAGGATATGGCAACATCCGAGTACCACCAGTCGCCTAGCAAGGGGTCAAAAACGTGATAAAGTACAGGTCATCCTCGACTTACAACAGTTCGCTTAGTGACTGTTCGAAGTGACAATGGCCCTGAAAAAAGTGCCCCCCCAAGCCACAGCCGAGCAGGACACCTGCCTGCCCACCCGGCGGCGCTCTTCCTCCTGTCCGAGGTTTTCATTGTTGTGAGCCTTTCTGTTGAGGATTGGCAGCGGGGGTGGGGTGGGGGGTGTTTGGTTTTTATTCCCCCCGTCTGCTGGGTGGTTGCAGCAGGTTTTGGTCACTTCACATGACCCTGGGACACTGTGACCGTCACAAATATGAATCAGTTGCCAAGCCTCTGAATGGAAATCACAAGACCCTGGAGAGGCTGCAACATTCCAGCCGATCGGCGCTTCTTCAGGGCTCAGCAGAAGCCCCAGGATCAGCGCCGAGCTCCAGCTGGAGCCTGGCGCTGATCCTGGTGCTTCCGCTGAGCCCTGACAGCCCCGAAGAAGCGCTGATCCTGGCGCTTCCGCTGAGCCCTGACAGCCCTGCAGCTCCAGCCGTCTCTCGCTCAGGCTTGTGCGGTGCTGCCACCGGTTCAGCCCATTACCCTCCCCCGCTACCACTTTCCTAGGATGATGGTTTACCACCTGCCAGGTGCCAATGTACCACAGGTGGTACCCGCACCACTGGTTGAAAAGCCCTGTCCTAGATGCTACTGACCAACCAGAGGCAGTTTCAAAAATCATATAAGGAAGCCAACGGTCCATGGCGAATTCTCCGTCATCCCGGTCACGGTGGTCCCAAAGGTGCTTTTTTCACGAGGCAACTGGACTTTCTTATTATTCTTTGAAGACGTTTCGCTTCTCATCCAAGAAGCTTCTTCAGCTCTGACTGGACGTTGGGGGAATGGAAGGATTTATACTCCTTGCAGACTGCTGGTCATTTGCCTCCTTTTAGAGAGTTATTGAGGCCACCTGGAGGTTTGTCTGTGTCCTCAGGGTCACTTGAGCGGTGCAAATGGGTGTGGAGCCTTCTTGGAACTGCTAAAAGGACTGTTTTGTGGACTGGAGGTAGATGGTGTCGTATTCCCTCCCCCTCCCCTGCTCCAAGTGGCCTCAGCAGCTCTCCAAAAGGAAGGCAAATGACCAGCTGTCTGCAAGGCGTATAAATCCTTCCATTTCTCCACCATCCCGGCAGAGCTGAAGAGGCTTCTGGGATGAGAAGCAAAACGACTTCAAAGAAAAACCAGGAATTCCGGTTGCCTCCTTTAAAAAAAAGGACCTTTGGGATATAAGGAAATTCAGAGAATGGACTCACTGAGCAAGCAACTTGAGGGAACAAATGGAGAATTTCACAGGGGGGGGATATGTGGAGAAGGCTCTAAGCCACATCATGCTGCAAGGAGAGTGTGTAGGAAGCTTTGTGGTGGACTGCAATTTATCTGCAACCTTTGTCCTCCTGCCTAAAAAGCCAACTCAAAGGACACCCAAAGTGACCTTTTTTCAAGAGGCAACTGAACTTTCTTCATTTTCCCGGGAAGACGTTTCGCTTCTCATCCAAGAAGCTTCTTCAGTTCTGACTGAATGGTGGGGAACGGATATGTATTCCTTGGCGCTCTTTCTGAGATTCATTGAGGCCGCCTGGAGGCCACTGTTTTGAAGACAGAAAAGTCCACATTTTGGACAGGGGGGATGGCTGGTTTGAAAGAGGGGTCAAAGGAAGGGAGGGGTGGAAGGAAGGAAGGGGTGGAAGGAAGGAAGGAAGGAAGATCTACATTAAGACTGACCAGCCCTGTCTCAACAGAGAGGGAGGGACATGACACCACCTATTTCCTGTTTACAACACTGTCCTTTCAGGATTTCCAAAAAACGTTCCACACTTTTGAGGGCACAGATAATCCTCCAGGTGGCCTCAATGACTCTCAGAGAGAGTACTAATGTCCAGATGACTGCAAGGAATATAAATCCTTCCATTCTCTACCATCCAGTCAGAACTGAAGAAGCTTCTTGGATGGGAAGCGAAACGTCTTCAAAGAAAAAAAAATCCAGTTGTCTCTTGAAAAAAGCACCTTTAGGACCTGGGTGACGGAGAATCTCTACAGACACTCAAACTACACCTGTTGGAAGTGCCCGTTCCTGTCCTTATTGGAGGAGGAGATAAAAGTGCTTGAGGAAGGATATCCATATTGTAACAGATCATGGAAAATGAGTAGTTCTGTCCAGGATAAAGATGCTTGGGTGTTGCAGAGGAGAAACTCAACGCCAGAGAAAAGACATCCTATTTCCCAGGCTTTGAGAAGCTCATTACACTCGATCTTCGTGGCGTGATACATTCAATCAAACATTCGCTGCAAATTATTCAGGTTCTCGGCCAATAGCACAGCACTGTCAGCATACAAATCTGTTTCTGCAACGCACAAACCTCTATTGCCCCCCCCAGCAGTGGTTTAAGGGGGACCCCAATCTTTGCCTTACTCCCCACTTAAGGCTGACCCCTGTGCTAAGCCTTCCGGTGATTCTCAGCCCTCCTTGACATCCCCGCTGATGGGTTTTCGCAATCGCCCGTCTGCAAACCCTCCTCACACCTTTGTAAAAAGGCCGGCCGGATAAGACGTCTCCCCTGTTGGCAAAACCAGGTCCCCGCGGACAGATGGCTTTGAATTCGGCCGAGCCGGGCTTGGGGCATTCCTCACAGTCCTTGCCCCAGGCCGCGCCAACGGAGCAGCAGCAAAGGTCAATGCGGTATTTCCCTGGCAGCGCCACGGTGCACTCGTCCTCGGCCCACTTCATGTAACACTGCTCCAGCCGCACGTCTGAATGGGGGAGAAGCGAGAAAGAATGGAGAGGTCAGAAAGCTGGGCTGAGGATTTAGTGAAAAAGCAGAGAGCAGGGATTCTCCCTTCCTTCCTTCCTTCCTTCCTT